TATATATATATATATATTAATTATGAATTATTATTATTAGTAATTTTTTAAAGAATGCGACGATCACAGCAGAGCAACTATAATTATTATTACTTAGTGTATGGGATGTTAAAATTTGTTTAAACCTTTAAGTACAATTTGTACAAAAAATTTATTTAGATAAACGTTAAGTTAACGTAGTCAAATGCGGTGTACAGGTTGTCTGCAAAAGTGTCGCGAGCAAATATGTCAGGTACAAAGATAAAGCGAAACAAAGATAGGTACAAAGTGTATAATATTTATGATACGTATGATACGCAAAGAATCACAAATTATAGTACTTTTGATATATCAATGATATATCATCACCTGATATCAAACAGGACTAGCCCGTGTCTTTCTTCATGACGCGAATTCTTATAAGGGATATCCTTTTACATACCGGATGCAAAAGTATCTTTCTCTCTAATGCGATTAAAAATATATTTGTTACGGTCTTTTTTGCCGAACATCCTGTACAAGTGACTTGGACGTCACATGATGATTAAGACTTTTTCTTCTAATTACACAATATCAGCTTATATCGTGTAATAATATACGAGCGTTTTCGTATTATTGTACATCCGTTATGATATTATTCATTTATTGATGTTGAAAACAAAAAGAAACCTTAATTAGATAGAGAGCGTGAATCTTGTAAACGGTTGTGTGACGAGTGACGATGCTAGAGACTGCGTACTGCGATAAACAACGTTATATTCAATCCCTTATTTGTGAAGTAATCACTTACGAATTTACTCGATCCTGGTTTATAGCTTTATACGTACATAAGCAAAAGATTGCGATATTAACAGTATGAGACAATCTAATATCGTCGATATAATTGTGAGGGTGCAACTGTGCAATCTTTAAACTTACTGTCGAAACCGCAATTATATACAATAGATAGACACATAAGATTTTCTCGGATCAATATCTTGATATATGATCGCGCAAGCAATAACCATGACGAAATTGACAATGGAATTCTAGACGTATCTTGGTAATCTCGATGTCCAAGTCACAGGACACATATACACAAAAACACACACCACGAGAGCGCATTTTTAGAGTATTTTTCTATTGTGCTAGCCTCTCCATTTTTATCGCGGGATGTAACAAGGCTCATTCGTTCTGCACATTATAAACTATTTAGACTCGTTAATCTATCTATAATGTTATACATATATACATGTATAAAAACTTCCAAATACTTTCGCACGAGCAGCTCTTCGTACGTTGTAATATTTGTATTTCTCTTCTTTATTTTTTTTTATAATTTTGTACTTTGTATAATGATATATCATCACCTGATATCAAACAGGACTAGCCCGTGTCTTTCTTCATGACGCGAATTCTTATAAGGGATATCCTTTTACATACCGGATGCAAAAGTATCTTTCTCTCTAATGCGATTAAAAATATATTTGTTACGGTCTTTTTTGCCGAACATCCTGTACAAGTGACTTGGACGTCACATGATGATTAAGACTTTTTCTTCTAATTACACAATATCAGCTTATATCGTGTAATAATATACGAGCGTTTTCGTATTATTGTACATCCGTTATGATATTATTCATTTATTGATGTTGAAAACAAAAAGAAACCTTAATTAGATAGAGAGCGTGAATCTTGTAAACGGTTGTGTGACGAGTGACGATGCTAGAGACTGCGTACTGCGATAAACAACGTTATATTCAATCCCTTATTTGTGAAGTAATCACTTACGAATTTACTCGATCCTGGTTTATAGCTTTATACGTACATAAGCAAAAGATTGCGATATTAACAGTATGAGACAATCTAATATCGTCGATATAATTGTGAGGGTGCAACTGTGCAATCTTTAAACTTACTGTCGAAACCGCAATTATATACAATAGATAGACACATAAGATTTTCTCGGATCAATATCTTGATATATGATCGCGCAAGCAATAACCATGACGAAATTGACAATGGAATTCTAGACGTATCTTGGTAATCTCGATGTCCAAGTCACAGGACACATATACACAAAAACACACACCACGAGAGCGCATTTTTAGAGTATTTTTCTATTGTGCTAGCCTCTCCATTTTTATCGCGGGATGTAACAAGGCTCATTCGTTCTGCACATTATAAACTATTTAGACTCGTTAATCTATCTATAATGTTATACATATATACATGTATAAAAACTTCCAAATACTTTCGCACGAGCAGCTCTTCGTACGTTGTAATATTTGTATTTCTCTTCTTTATTTTTTTTTATAATTTTGTACTTTGTATAAAAAAAAAAAAACATTTGCATTTCTTTATATGCGATTTCGTGTCGACAACGGATGCATGCGTTGCGTCGATTTTACGTATCTCGTCATCTCGTGTCTCCTTCGGGATGGAGAGCGAGAGAACATCTACTACTACTCTGCTTGATATTAGATTGTGTCGATGAAGGGAGAAATGATTCGTGATTTACTACTCAAGAGTGTTCATTGTACAACGAGCACGCACACGTTATTCCTAAAAATATTATAGGGTCTTGACTCTTTTTACGGCGACATTCTCTCTTTTGGAATCTCAATTATTTCTTAATGCACGAAGTGTTCATTCTCGATTAACTTAATTGATCGCGATATTATATTTTATATTGAGATTATATATCCTATTTTTAAATAATAGGCGCGAGAGGATATTATCATAGTTGATAACGTTCGCATTAACGTACTTCCGAATCTCTTTCGATATGATTTAAGTTACTTAAAAGCATTACGTCGTAAGATCATCATGGACGTAGAGCGTTCGCCATAAAAAGAGTCAATGATGCAGGGATGATGAATCTCAATGACGTATATTAACGTGTGCCCGCTTATCGTTGTGCGAGTTCTTTATTGTATATTATCTTGATATTTACTAAATAGCGTGCCGATGTGTTTTTTTCGCCGTTTTATTACACGTGCAGTTATAGAGAACGCATTCCCATTGCATCGGCCGTCACAATTTTAGATATAATTTTTCTACGAGATTTAAAAGACCGCAGAGTTCTAGAAATACGCGCACACAGGGCGCTCCATCCAGCTTTGATAACGCTTTTAATTTAACTCGATTAGAATGTATCGCAAAGAGGAAATTGCTTACGTAGAAAAAGTTGCGCGTTGATATAAAAAGGCACAAAACTGGCCTAACTTTCATCGTGCAAACATCTTTCGTCCACAACACACAAGTGAGCTGTCAAATATCGCGCGATTGGATGGATCACCCTGTAGAGAGATCTTCTCGTCTCTTCGTGAAAGCAGCGAGATACCAAAATCGGAGATCACTATATTATATATGCGAATATAATTATATCTTTTAAGTTTACTCTCTCATTCACAATACGCGCATCGAAGCGCATCTCGACATTTGCCCGCATAACTCATGTCAATGAAATTAAAAAAAAAAAAGAAAAGAATAAACGAAGAGGAAATCTACAAAGAGGATCATTGTAGTTCGGATCCATCCATCGATTTTTACATTCAATAAATCCAATCATGATAGCGATTCCCCTCATTCGTCATTTTCATCCGGCAATAAAGTCTTTAATATACAATTTAATATAACGTAAAATATAATATTTAGTTTGTTATATATTAATTTCTACAGAATATTTTATAAATTTAGAATTCTATTCAAAGGAGAATGTAAAAGATTAAAAATAATGCGTATATTCTATGTATAAAAAAATACATCATTTATTTTATTAATTTTTATAAAAATGATAATATATATATATATATCGGTTTGCCTAAAATTATTTTCAAGAATACATTGTTTTCTCTAAACAGAAGCTCGTCCTGGATAAGTTCGCTAACTGCGAACGCAGAAATCGAGCAAGATGTGACCGATAATGTGATTATGCCAGACGGGTTTTTTTTGCGTCTGTGTTCTTTCGATCTTCTGCGAGCTACTCTGGATCCTTTCTTTCTCTCCCTCGTCGCGGTTTGCGTCACAGGCGAATAAAAGATCGAGGGAGAATAAAGGGAGATGCAATCGGGGCCGTCCGCAGAAATATAACTGCGATCCGCGCGTGCATCGAATGGCAATTCTTCGATCACTCGAGTATCTGTACAAAAATAAGGATATTCAAATCTTGAAAATCCCTGGCTATTGTACATTCGAAAATAGTGAAAGTTGCATCTTAAACTAGCGAGACAAAAACATTCTATTTGTATAGAAATATTCTGTATATATAAAACTCTCACATTCTCTGGTTTTAAAATTGCTTGCTCGATTTTAGATCACATACAATCGAAAATTTAGAGAAAATCGTTATGAGATTTATCTTTCGAGAAGATGCAGAGACGTTACGAGATAAAACTGCGATCAAAGAATTTTCGCGAAGAAAATGCGCTGAACGAGGTTCACTCTATAACATGTACGAAAATTGTTTGCGCATCCTATCGGAAATATCTGTTGCGAAGAGTTTCCGGCGATAAAATGTACAATCGATAACGCCAACCTATATGCGTTATATACATGGTCCACGAACGGGAAAGCGAGACGAGTTGTAAGAGAGCGTCCGCGAGGCAGGCAGGCTGCCGGTTTATTCCTGATCGAATGTTTTTGTACGACCGCCGCGCAATCCTAATTGAATTCGCTGTTGGCAGGCGGAGTTGCACCGAGAGAACCGTATATACGTGGAGAATCGCAGCACGAATTTCTTATTCGATAAAATTTAATTCCTTCTCTTCGCAGAGAGAAGCGAGATAAAAATGCGTGAGGTCCTAAACTCCTGTGACCTCCTGATTTCAAAGAATTACGATTAATGTAAGAGTCAGTGTTAGGTTTTTCTCATACAGCTCATTCTGCAACAATTATAAAAAACAGTTTACAAAGATAAAATCGATCGAAGAAATCTACGATGTACTTGTGTAAGAGATACCGTACGAGATATTTTCCTTCGTTTTTCATTTCGTAGAATGTCTAGCAATCTTCCATCGTTGTTTCTGAGCGTACGTTTAAGAATTTGTAACCATTCACAACATGTTCACGGTCGTATTCTGTGCGTACCGGAAGAAGAAGGATAAAATAGAAGGAAGACGGAGACCCCTTTCAGCTACGTAGGATAACAATGGACCACTTGTTGGAGGTAGCCCGTTCCGCGACACCAATACAACGGTTACTATTGGTTATTCATTGAGGCTTCTTAAAGGAGAGTCTATCGGCGATTCGGTAGATCCGTCTAGAAATAGAATTTAATTCAGTTATTTCCGATTATCGATGAACGCGAACTTTATTATCAAAGTCGGCAAACTCTTCCGTTTCGTCATAAATCTTTCGTACATATATGGAGCCTTGTAAATCATGAGTTCGTGATAACATCATGAATGCATCATGCGAGAACAAAAATAAAAAGTAAAGCTGAAAGAAAAAAAGCCCATAAAATAAAATTTATATTTTATATTAATAAGATGCTCCCCCCGTTTCTTCTCTTTCAAGAAGAAGAATAAATTTCTTCTCTTTGCACATTCAGTGTTTCCTCTATGTGTTTAAGTTTGAGCGAATCTTACGCATAAGAAAATATATTTATAGCGACTTAAGTATCTTATAATGTATAAGTCGAATGTAGAATGCAAATGCGAGATGTGGTGAATTTATGCGACACGGAAGTAAAATTCAATTGTCGGCGAGATATAAAGAATGGGAGAGAGGAAGAGAACACAAAAGAGAGAGAGATAAAGCGAGAGAGTGAATAATGGAAGAGATGGCGCGGAAAACCGGCAATTAAACCAAAAGACGTTAAAAAACTGGTTCTCTCCGTCAAGATTTTGTTTTCACTTTTTTTACTAATATATTCGAATTTTGATTCCTACATACTTTTTCAACTCTAATAAAGTTAAGTTTCCAATCAAAGCACGATTTAAAAATGGATTCTGCAATTATATATACGCATCTAAAATTGAATGGAATTAAAACTTTCGAGATTTATTTATTAGAAAAAATGAATACGTGAATTGAAATAAACGGCGAGAATTTTTATTTCCACGACACTGTGGATGCCTAATCCACAATATTAAGAATTCGATATATTCTACAATAATTCTTGCCTCGTTCTTGCATTATATCATTTAATTACATATTATAATTCAAAATTCTATATGAATTAATCCACTAATTCTTTATAGAAGTTAATTCTTATATATTAACTAACAAGAAAATATTAGCCGAGATGAACTCTAAAGATTTAGTAAAATTAAGAATTAACTTATACATTAATACTTGTAAATTAAAATTTTTCGAAGCTTATTTTTTCAAGATGGTAACAAAAATGAAAAGCGTACATCGTACATTAGTGTGTGCAAAACCGAAGTGATGCTCTTTTCTGTGAGGGCATTGTGCACGCAGCCTTATTCCGGCGGCACGTCCGAGCTCGCTCTCCCCGGCGTGCCCCCGAGTCCGTCTGCGAGATCTCTATCTCGCTCTTCACGGAGGGGTCTCTCGGCCTCCTCTCATTGAGAGTCAGTCAGTCAGTCAGTCAGTCTGCCGGAGCGACGCGGTTCGCACGCATCGCACCGTACGCGAAGCGTGCACGCACGCACGCGAGGGATCATCTTCGAGCGATCATCTTCCTTCCCTCTGCTGCCTTATCGATCGAGGGGGTGGACAACCGCGCGTTGAAATCACTTCACACCGGGGAGGGGGGGATAGGAGAGGATCTTCTCCGCACCGCAGGTGACGTCCGCGGTGACGGCGTGAAATCTGGGATTTCACACGCGTCCAACGGGCGGCACGCGAGCTCCGCTTTCGCAGGAGATAAGCAGTCGGGGAAACGTTGCCCTCTGCGTTACCTATCTACCTGTGTATTGTCTTTTTTTATTTCTTTTACGACTGCCACGGGGAAAGGGCGGTCTTCTTCTTCCTCCTCATACCGGTGTCGTGCGTGCAACACCTGGCGGTGGCACTGAGCGGCACTCGTCGAGGACGATTATTATGCGATCGGCTGCGGCCATCCTGGCCGCGGCGACGGCGCTCGTTCTACTCCTGGACGGCGCGCTCGCCCGGCACAAGCATCGCTCCGGGAACGGCGCGCAAAAGTCCGATATATCTCTCTGGATCGACCAGCAGCAAACCAAGATATTCAGCGGTACACGTTATTCGAGCGATTCCCTCGAATCTCTTCTCCCTTTGCTATTATCTTTCTGTCAGGTGACCCGTTGCGATACCTGAAATATGCATCTTCAATGAAGTTCAATAGTGCAATATATCGTCGAAAAATTAAATACTACTCATATAGAATAACTTTTCTTCCCCCCCACCGTGCTGTTTTTTAATAATAAAACTAATAAGCATGTCATAATGTACAAAAAAAATTGCATTTTTATGATCGATCTAGGACTGGCAATGGAAATATACGCTATCGCGGAGGGTAGAGTGCTCAGTCCTCTGTTGGATCCAGAATTTGAGAGTAAATTGCCGATAATTCCGAGCGAGGTATCGCATGTAAATTTTACGTGGAAGGCCGGGACTAAAAAGTATTATTACAATTTTTTTCGCTTGAAATCGTTTGACGAAAGCATCTTGAAAACTCCATCGATTACGATTGAAACGCAAGGACGGGTGCCCAAGAGACCGAAAGGTAACAGAAATTTAAAATATATATTTTTAATTTACCCATTGTAACTAAAGTGAAAATTGTTTATATTGTACGAAATATGAAGCAAATATGAGCAAATATAAATAATATGCGTAAGAATTTATGCACGTGATATATTTTATGTATAATAAAAAATTTTAAGAAAAATTATATATATATATATATATATATGTTTAATGATAATATTAAAAATTAGATATATACGGAGAGACTACGTCATAACGGAAAACTTGGCTAAATTGAAATCAAATTTTAAATTCACTGGAGAGAGATATGTGGTAAGCGCGTGATGCCAGGTACGCCCTGTATGTGACGGCACGCATCGATCCACTGATATATAGATTGAATATATGATTCTTCGCGTTTAAGTTCTCCGCGTCCTAAATTCCACGCTTCAGGGCTTTTCTTCCGCGGCGGCGCTTATCTTACGCGCCATCGAAGTACCTCTTATAATTTTCACATGACGTTAAAGCCGCCGCTAACGGTAAGTCGCATTTAGCGTCCGGAAGTTCCTGATCTTAAGCGAGGGATTACAAGATACTTAGCTCTCCGCTGCACGGCATTACCGTTGCACAGCGACGGCAGATTGTACCTGAAATTCTTCTCCAACTTTGATTCTAACCAACGTGGTTACCACGGATTCTCGCGCCTTATTTTTCAACGCGGCGAGGATAAACGCGCGCCTTATCCTCCCTTAATGCTACTTATTCAGTTGGCGAACTGTTTTGCGAATTATACGTCGCGAC